ACAGCGGGCCGTGAAAAACCACTTTGTTTCAGAAATTGTTCGTTCGTGAATAGCAAGAATTCCAGACGCGTTATAATAGAATTTTTCGTTAATAACAAAAGCTATTGTTGACTGCTGAATAGGCAGTTTGTGAGGGCGACAGTTTGTAAATATTGTAAGCTCGCGGAGTTATGTGCCTGCGTGTGTGCCGCGTAATCGGCCGTTTAGTTGGAAGCTCAGATCGCAGTTTGCTTTAGGTGTATTTCCCAAGTATACTAGTAAGGGAGATGAGTTATTTATACCGTCAGTTCGTGATTTCAAATAAGTAACCAGAGAAGCGTCATTATTACTACATATTATAAAACAAAGTCCCCCGCCGCTGTTGTCTATCTGTCTGTCTGTCTGTTTGTTCGCGATAAACTCGAAAAGTACTGGATAGATTATCATGCGGTTTTCAACAATAGATAAACCAATTCTTGAGGAAGGTTTTGATATATAGTAAATTTTGATTTTGTACAAACTGACGATATTACAGCGATATTAATTCAATATGTTGGAAAAATAGAGCCGATCGAGAGCTTTCCTCAAAAACACTGTCAAAAATTTTTGTGTAACAAAAAGATAAAAATAACAAAACAACGAATGGTGGAATTATACCTCTCCAATAAATCTACAAAAAAAATCGCGGTGGTATATGTCTATCTTCCAAGAATAACCCACAATAACCATTTTTTTGCATTTACTTAAAACAGTAAAATTATGGGTTATTTACGAACCTATTTTTAACAATACAGTATTAATCCTTATTCAAATAAATAAATTTGATACGTTATGCATGTAATGAGGATTAAAATTTATTTTTACACTATATCAAAAAAAAAAAATAACCAGCGAGAAATTAAATATCGATGAATATCCAAAAAAATGAATCGCCGAATCGTATGTGCGCGCATAACTTCCGAATTCCAGTTCCGACTGCACCAAATTGGATGATTCTATTTTTTTGTGTTCCACGAGTCATGATACGGTTTGTATATAAGATTTTTTTTTAAACTGGTGTAAGGCGGTACGAAGTTCGCCGGGTCAGCTTTAGTTAATTAACGGCTTTATTCGTTTACTTTAAATTATTCGTTTACACAGTATGTATTAAAACCATTCCGTTCGTTCTATTCTGACTATATTTGATTAAGATTACAAGGTCTACATTTATTAGAACTTCTGCCCGATTTCCTTTCATATTATAACTTGATATATTTTTTTTATATTTTAATAAATTTGATTGTTTCCTATTCAGTTTCCAATTACGTTAATTTACATTTTGTTTCTTAATAACAAGGTACAATTGATCCCGTTGCTAGCTTCTTTTTCAACTGTGTTGTAAAATCTTGTCTAATTTTTCATTACTAGGAAGTACTTCATCGATTGCCTATTTATAAAATCGTACAATCAAGACCGACTTCCTGTAACCTCGCCCTACAAACGTCTAGGTTACTATGGCATCTTAATGTCTGTTGTAGCAAGTTCGGCACACCTGTACCGAGAGCTCAGCCTCAATTTATAACGCAGATTGTCCAAAGTTTCGAAGCACACTTTATGGTAATGAAACCCTTTGATATTTGTTCAGAAGTAGCTGTTGCCTCTGGCTTCATCCGTTTCGTCTAAAGGTTTTCTAAAGAAGACCTATTATGTCGTGTTAAGATTTAATTGAAACTTTTCAACTGTTTGATTTTATTTTATAGCTTTATTAACATTTAATCGGTCACGGTACCGTACTTTGCTTTTACTAGCGAACAGATTTCATAGAATATTTATCGTCTTTGAGAAACTTTTGTTTTTGGACTTTGGTTTCTGTTCTGTTGTGATAAACCAAAAGGTATGTCATTGTTAAATTATTTATTTGCAAAGATATTGCTACAATCAAATTAAATACGCGTTTCTGTTAATTCTTTTCGAATTCGCATATTTGGACTTTATTCGATTGTTAATAGAGTCGATATTAGAGTATTTATAATGTTATATTTTCATATTCTAGTCGCTCGATGCGACAAGAGACGCTAGTAAATGCGAGGCGGTGAGCTTGGGCTAAACGCGGGGTGCACAAAGATGGGCGGATGTACTCATGTGGTTACGATTAGAGCGATTCGAGACAAATATCTATAGTAGGGAATGTATTTATAATAAGGTCAAATGTTGAAATTATCAAATGATATGTATATTGATAGTGTGTAACTTATATCGTTAAATTATTTTTTTAATACAATTTAACTTTTAAAAGTACATGTTATATTTATTTTTGAATGTATAATATTACCATCAAGGTATCCCTTATAACCTACTGCTTGTACTTATATTATCAGAAAAACGTAGCGTACGTGATGTGTGTTGTCAAAATAAACGAATTCTATTCTATTCTATCACTGAGTATGTACGACACGATATGCTATAATTGATAAAAAAAGTGAATTTTATGTTTTAACTTGCATTATTTTAACAAGTTATAATAGATATTGATTGGGCCATAACGCGATTTATGTAAATGTGCCTACTGTTGTTAAGAGCACATAAGCCGAATGAGTGTTAGATAAAACATTCACGTAATATTATCATTACATATATCCTCCTCCGCTCCGCTCATCGCTATTTGTAACTACCCACCCGACTAACACGCCCGAAGCATCGCGCAGATGACGCGTGCATTATGCATGCCGCTGCGTTTAGCGATAGTGGGCCGTCTGCGGTCGCCGTAGGGCTGTCGGTAAAATATATATTCATAACGCCTTCTATTGAGCAACGCGTAACCTCCTAATACACGTACAACTTATAAATAACTGCTTATTTGCTGTTCATTATAATTTAAAATAACATTAGAAGCAGACTTGTGCCTATTACGCAATTCTTAATTAAGCCCTAAATTATGTCGATATTGCTAAAATTTGAGATTGAAAAAGATAAAAACGAATACTTTACTATACTAGTTAGAAGACAAATAAATTAAAAAAAGCCATCTAAAGCAAACCTCGGAATATTATTTAACCATCATGGAAATATTTTCCTTTCAGTATTAGTAAATAAATATATCACAGAACATAAAAAGCAACATTAATCTAACGAATACTTTTTGAGACAGTTGCAAGATTACCACTCTTATAATCCTTGGTGATATTAATTGAGCTACAGTAGACCTATAAAATATATCCTATCAAACTTCATATATAATTACAAATTTTCAGTCTAACAATGAAGATTTAAAATATATTTCTGGTATAATGGTATCGATCACAAGTGACACAACCCTATCTACACACTTTATATATAAACGTCGTATGGTTTGTATAACTATTGTTATTCAGTTAGGCACGCTCGGTCCCCATAGCTCTCTGATTAAACCTCCATTGTGATACCCAGACGAGTTCTCTAAAATACTACTGTGTCCATATATCATGATAATTTAAATAGTTTAATTTAGAATTTCAGTTTCTCTTTTTAGCTTATTCAATCACATCATTGTTTAACTGGTAATAACTAAATAGAAACGTTCGAAGTTCTTAAGATGACTTACCTGTACCTATTGTGGACAGCTGTATTGTAAATGACATTGATGTCTTCAGTAAATAGGAGAAATAAATTGAATCTACCAATCAGGTGTTTCTTTAAATCTAGTTTTCCTAAGGTTTAAGTATCTATCTGACGGTCGTATTTATAACTCACGTAATAATTATGAAAATTATGATCGATTTCTGAGTAGTATTAATATTATTATTAAGTAAACAACAAAATAATCTCATAAAACATTTTCAAGATGTCAGTTTTGTTTACACCGTACTACAAGATACTTATTTATGTAGTTACTAAGGACAAATCATGAGTGCTGACAAACATCGCTACGCATACAAATCCCCGTGAAGACAATTTATGCAGACAAGCCTCCTACATTTGAATTTTGTCACACAGAAAGTATAACCCCGAAACCATGTACACTGACACGATAAGACATTCCATTTTATTATACTCAGTGCACAGGGTGCTGAGAAAACAACGAACTGACGATGCGGGACTGGGGAACAGAGGACTGATAGAGCAAAATGGCCACGCGATTTTAGATAGAATATCATGAAAACGGTCGTTGAGCCAAAGTCATAAAACGCTCATATTGAAACTGGATCAATGCTCTTTTCATAGTGAATTGTAAAACTCGCTTTCTTGTTGTCGCATCGATGGTAACTCTTTGCTTTCGTAGGTTTCAGTGGTCTAATAATACTCGTATTATTTTACTCATTGTTTTCTAAGATAACAAAAAGATAATAATCGAGTTCAAAATGTTGACACGTTAAGTAATTTATATACAGGACGAAATTAATTTTTGATGTTATATCGTGTCTGGTCTACTATAAATAGTTAAATGTTTTGTTTTATTACTTTGACCTATATTTGTGGTCGATTATTTGAATAATTTTCTTAACCCGAATACCTTATCAGCTCCGTTCTGACGATTGCGAAACAATGGTTAAAGGGTGCGACGCTTCGATATAAATGTTAATCTTGACCATTCGCTCATGGAAGTGGCATTTACGACCTAAATGAGTTTCAATCTGATAGCTATTGTTCAGTTTAAGATTGTCGTAAAATCCTTTAGGACTAGAACTAGCAACGAGAACTGGGACGGTCAATTTTGATAGTTTCATTGGAGAGTTTAACGTTGATATTGCAGTGTACGAAGTGCTCTTATATTTTAAAGCTACAGTTTTAATGGTTAAAGTCTGCGTTGTTGCACTCCGCAAATATAAGCGTAAGACAATGCATAGAAACTTTTTATGAAATAATTAAACAAGCTATCTGATAAACCATGTCAAGTGATAAAATAATATAATTTTAGGATTATCAATAGATTTAAATTTCACAAACATTACTTTAATATTGGATCTTTTTATTCCAGGTGAAGTGGAGCGCCTGTTACGCGAGTACAGACAAAACCAAGAATTGGTCAGAAACATCGGTGCTCACTATTATCAGATCATCTATCCAGTGCAGCTGCGACACCACGAGAAAATGGGCATCTCTACGCGCGAGATCAACACTCAAAAGGTTAGAATCTTAAAATTATCATTTAATAAAAATATTCTTGATCTAAGATCGCTAAAACTCATTATCTACAAGTTTTAATCGTGTTATCAAAGTTAAGTACCAGTTTAACTAAAAATAAAAGATAATACGAGTACTTCAATATTTATAAAATATTGTTTTTATTAAAGTAAATTTAGAAAATCTAATTTTATTAAGAATATTTAAGTTAGTGTCTCATTTTTTACTACTTACATTAGTTGCTTCATAAGAATAGGTTAAAAGTAATGTGAGACATTTCAAACAACTGAATACAGGGTCCTAATCAAAGAAAATAAGTGTTAGTATAATTAATTAAAAGAAAACATGATAGCTACTTATTACATTACGAAGACACGAAGCTCCTAAAATGCACATTGAATGAGTTATATTTTCATTTAAATTGAATATTATAAAATAATGTTTTTTACGCGCTAACGTTGAATCAATAAGTACTGAATTCAGAATTTATCCCCTAAGATGCTTAATCTGCTCCTTCAAGTTTAGATTACTTGTACTGAATTTTCGCTATAAGAAAACTTTGAAGGTAAAATCTGCTTGACAAATAACTAGTATAATGTCAGCGTTATCCTTGGAAGATTATTGAGATGGAGTTTGGGAACGCCATTGGGACAATTTTCGTTATATGGCTGCATTTTCCTTAAGACATTTTCTGATTGTAAGGGATTACATTGTTAGAATTATTTTCTGTTAAATCACGATGTGGTTGGTAAGATTATGACTGTCTAGCAATATAATATTCGTTTACAGCATCATCGGACATGTCTTAGTCTTTACTGTATTTATAATTTACGTTTCATTAATTAACCGTATTTTTTAGGACGCAGTAAAACTAAAAACAGTTTTCAGTAACATATAATTTATTTATCTATAATTAAAATATTTTCTGTTAGCTAAAATATTATATACTTGCTTTTGCCCGCGACTTAGTCCGCACGGTAAAATTACTTTGAGCAGCATTCCTAACGAATAATTATTCATTATATCGTGTAAAATACATGAAATAAAGTTTCATCCCCTATTTTATCGCTTTAGGGATGTAATTTATCAAAATCTTTTCTTAGGGGATGCCTGCGTCATAGTAACTTTATGCATGCAAACTCTCAGCCCCATCGGTTTAAAATTGACAAAGTTTCATTCCCTATTTTATCCTCTTGGGGGTAAAATTGATCAAAATCCTTTCTTAGGGGATGCCTAAGTCATAGTAGATTTGTGCAAGCAAAGTCTCAGCCCAATCGGTTTGAAATTGACAAAGTTTCATACAAAATTTATGCCCTATTTTATCCCCTCGGGGTAGAATTGATCAAAATCCTTTCTTAGCGGATGCCTACGTCATAATATCTATCTGCATGCCAAATTTCAGCCCGATCCGTCCAATGGTTTGGGCTGTGCGTTGATAGATCACTATGTCAGTCAGTCGCCTTTTAGTTATACAACGTGTCCCAAAATTCAACGATAAGCGGGCGCCAAGAGGTAGACCTGCTCATGCGTACTTATGGAAAAATAAGAAAAAAATTATATCTTATTAATCTTTTTTATTATAAAATAAAATTCGAAAATTTTCGATAATTTACACCTTTTATGATATTTTCAACTACCACGACCACAATTTCTCAATTATGTTCAATCTTTTTTTGGTATCGGATACCTAAGTAGTACTAATATTCGCTACAACTGTTAAAAACACCAAAATGCCCACAGTATTTACACAAAAAACAATCAAAATGTATTTTTTTCCTTAAATTTTCACAGATTTTTACGTTCCGTAATCTTTGACTCACGGTCATGTAGAAAAAAAGTATGGACACTACTGCGGCAAGTTGTTTTTAAAATTGACGCAGCTCATGAAGATTCCATAATGGTATAATACTTCATGATAACTAGCAACAAACTAAAATCATACCATAATTAAAACAATATTCTAATATTGTTTTAATTGTTAGAGTAATTTTCATTTGATGTGGTTCAGAGAATATATATTAAGTAATATTTTCCAAGACAAACAAATTGAAGTTTCTCAATTTATTGTTAACTGGGGTTTGTTTAGAACTCTATAGGGGATTATAATTAATGGAATACCTGCAGACGTTACTCGATCAAGCGATCTTAGCAACTTCAAACAAGTTTTTAGAAGTTAAATTGGTTGCCAGGCGAATATTTTGTGTGCTCAAGCGTGGCAAGAATGTGGAGCGCGTGACGTTACCCACGTGATCAAACGTTAGAGATTCCGCACTAATCCTCCTTGTCCATGTGGTCATTCTTGCTTATTGGCCTATTTAAATGTTGTGTCTAGGAATAAGGTATGGTGTCTATCGTTAGTAAGTTGCAGTAGAAATTGATGAGTAAACAGCTGGCTTATTATTGTAATAATGTTTGCGTAATAATTGCATCTAATGGCGTCTCAACTACTTGAATTTTAGCTTTGTAATGTCTACCTGCAGTCCCAAATTATTAGTGTAATATTTTGACACAAATCAATGGTAACAGATATATTTATAATTTTGTGATCAAGTTATAAAAACTGTATTATGAAGGGTTATATGTGAAGGACTCTCCATAATAATGCTGATATTAACAGTATTGGCATATTGTAATAAAAATGGGTCACCAACCATTCTGAGATCGCTAATGTTGTTTATATACCCCAGTTAAAAATCATTGTTTTTTACTTTTGATGTTTTTGAGAATAAGCAGTATAGGATCTTTGATTATTAATGAATAATTGTAAATTATAAATATATAAAAAGTGATTTTTTTTTCTCGTCTCTCATCCATTCAATCAAATTTTCGAAACTGAAATACAGTGCCTTGACTTACTTACTATAAAGATCTAAAGTATACTTCAATATAATTGCACACATAGATTAAAATACGTTACTCTTTTATTACAGATTAATCCAATGTAATTTATGCATCTCTTTCTGACTGCTGACTTTAATTTAACAGACTAATAAATAAATGAAACAACTTTTAAACGGTTTCGTCGCGTTTGTATTTAGTTTTATTGACGTTTCGGACCCTTACAGGTTCCGCGTTCACATAAAGTTAAACCGAAACGTCAATAAAACTAATTACAAACGCGACGAAACCGTTTTAAAGTTATTTTATTTATGGATAGTGCTCGGGAAAACATAAGAAATCAATATGGTTAATAAATCTTAATTCTTCTAAAGTCTGTATATCTCTATGAAAGATATGTATGATTATATAAATGGTAGTATACAAGAAACATAATTTTTAAATTCCATCAGATAACATATTAAACATAAGAATTACGTTACTGACATTAAAATTTGCATTAAGTGCACAAAAGAAGATATAGCAGAGTGGCAGATAACAAATACCGACGCTAGGTTATTCTTTTGAATGCTGGAGTGTTGCCAACGACAGTGAAAAAACACAAGATAAAGAACTTTGTTCATTGCAACAAAGTGTAATTAGAAATCACAACTAAAATATTTATTAAAACGTTCAGAGAAACTTCCATATTTATTTAAAGCGCGCTTCCAAATCGGAGTTAAGCTTGATTGAACAGTGAAGGCATAAATTCATTTTATAGCTGCAAAATGCGCCAATTAATCTTGATTTCATGTGAAAATTGCTAAAGTTTTGGAGAAATTTAGTTGAGATTAATATAGGAACATTGGTTTGAACCGACAATTATTAGGTGATTAGAAGTTACTGTAATTAAGATTGAAGTTTCATAGTGTTCATCACCTGTTTTCTAGCTAATAAATAATACAAAGTGCTACTTATAAATGCTACAAAGTATATGTAGTGAGCGATTTAAGAAATATCAATTTTAAGTATACTTTATTTTAGGTGAGGGCACAGATTGAAAAGGAGCGGAATTACTTTACCAGAACATGAAGAATAATTAAATGAAGAACGAGAATTTGTTACGAGAATTAACTACAATATATGTACAATCGAGTAATAAAAAAAATATAAGCGCAGAACATGTCATACTCAACTATGTTCCTGATCTAGCTTCAGCATGTTGATCCTGAGACATCTTAAAACATTGTTTTAACATATCTCCGAATCACCACTCCCAAACGACTGGTCATTATCGTAGATCTAAAAAGCAAGAAGTACGTAGGGATAGCCCGTGGCGAACCCAGTGGATCTCTTAGCCCAGCAGGTGTGGTCGCTATTCACTCCTGAAATGCATGGTCTCGCATTTCGTCTGGGGAAGACTCGGGTATACTCCCCAAATGTGTGAGGAAGACTCACGATGAACTTCATATAGGGCAATAGAAACTCGAAGCTCAGCCAACTCAGGTAATTTTAGGGTCCGGACGTTTGATTTCATCTCCACCGAGAAGGTATAGGAGGTGTTCCGTAACGAAACAGATCATTGATAATTGGCTATACAAAGACAACACAACTGTGGGTAAAATTTTTATTGTCTATGGGCAAGGCGATTAGCTGTCTTCGTTCCAAATCCCCACCCTTAATCCTTGGGTGACGGTTTACTACTGTGATTTCAAATTGTTAACTGCGCGCACCTAATTTTGATTGAGCTTGGTGAATTGTTCGTTATCGAGAATAAGGACATTTCGGAAGAACGGTGGATCAGTGCCTATGGACTATATATCGTGTATGATATATTCGCTGGTAACCGCGTCGACGCACCCCGTTCCAGAACCCAGCCCTCGGAACCCGTGGCGGTAAAGGATCGCTTGCGGTGAGTCGCCAACCCCTGCTTAATATCGTACATAATTTCTTTTGATCCGTTCGAACCGGATTGCTATCTTTCAGTTGTGTTGTCTCTAAACAGTATTACGTACTTATTATCATGGATAGTGACGCAGCGAATTCGAAGCAGTCATCTTTGTTACGCAAAATGTCTGATGATGAATCGCCGTGTGAACAAGATTTATTCGAACGAGATCTTATTCTCGATGAGTTAAAACGAACATTACAGTTCGCAGCGACAGATGTCCAACAGTTTCGCTCGC